AGACACTATATCTTTTGATAGCCGGGCACCATCAGCTTTCTTCACCACATTTGCTTATTCACCCGCTTTGTCTTCAGCGGTTGTGTCGGTAAGGTGAGCATCATAGAATGCCACATTTAATAGAAGAAAGTATTCTTGCATTGAGGGAGTACTTGAGTGGAGGCCCAATGGAAGACAAAATTCTTGACGTCAGTCGTTTCCCCATTTATTATGATGCTACATATTGGTCCAGTTGTGAGGATTTTTAATTTATTTTTTAATATGTTTTAATTGAGATGTAATACATGCTGAATACTGCAATTCTTGATTATCAGCAAGTGCTTCAAGTTCTCCTTGCTTTGAGCAAATAAGATGGTGTCATCTGTGTATCTCAGGTGGTTAATAAACCTTTCTTCAATCCTGATGCAACATTCTTCTTCATATAATCCAGTTTCTCTGATTATTTGCTTAGCATAGAGATTAAGTATGATGAGAAGATAAAACCCTAAAGCACACCTTTCCTGATTTTAAACCATGCAGTATGCCTTTGTTCTGTTCGTACAGCTTGATCCATGTACAAGTTCCTCATGAGCACCATGAAGTGCTCCGAATTTCTGTTCTCAAGGTTATTCACACTTTAATATGGTCCACACAGCTGAATGCCTTTGCATACTCAATGAAACAAGTAAAGCAAACATCTTTCTGGTATTCTCTGCTTTGAGCCAAGATCCGTCTGACATCAGCAGTCATATCCTTTGCTCCACGTCCTCTTCTGAATCTGGCCTGAACTTTTGGCAGTTCTTTTCAGTGTACTGCTGCAACCATTGTTGGGTGATTTTTAAGCAAAATTTTACTTCTGTGCAATATCAATGATACTGTTATATAATTTGAGCATTCTGTTGGGTCACCTTTCTTTGGAATGGGTACAGATAAGGATTTCTTCCAGTCAGTTGGCCAAGAAATCCTCTTCCAAATATCCAGGCATAAGACAAGTGAGTGTTTCCAGTGCTCCCATCAGTTTATTGAAATGTTTCAATTGGCAGTATCCCATCAATTCCTGGAGCCTTGTTTTTGGCTAATGAGTTCAGTCCAGCTTGAACTTCTTAAGCACCACCGACTCTTGTCCAAGCTATTCTTATTGATCAATTCTTGGTCAACCAATTCTTATTTGATACAGTGATATTGAATTCTTTCCATCTTTTGATGCTTTCTGCATAATTCAGTTTTGCTCATGGAATCATTCAATATTGTAATGAGGCTTGATTTTTTCCCTTCAGTTTAAGATATGCCGAGTGTGCTATTTTTGGTTTTCTAACTAGTTCCTTGCACATTTCATAATGCTTTACTTTTTCTTCTATAGCTGCTCTTTGAAATTTTCTGTTCAGCTCCTTGACTTCATCCTTTCTTCCATTTGCTTTAGCTACTCTTGATTAGTAGCAAGTTTCAGCATCTCTTCTGACATCCACTTTGATCTTTTATTTCTTTCCTGTCTTTTTAATGACTTGCTTATATATGGTCTTTATGTCATCCCACAGTTTATCAGGTCTTCTGTTATTAGTGTTCAACGTAGCAAGTCTGTCCTTGAGATGTTCTCAAAATTCAGGTGGGATATATTCAAGGTCTCATTTTGGTCCTTGTGGAGTTTCACTTCATCGTCAACCTTAATTTTTAAAATACAAAAACCTCACTGTCACTGAGCCAATGCCAATTGATAGCAACCCCATAGGATAGGGTAGAACTGGCCCTGTGAGTTTCCAAGACTGAAACACTATGGGAGTAGAAAACCTCATCTTTCTCCCAGGGAGGGACTAGTGGTTTCAAACTTCTGACCTTGTAGCTAACAGCCCAATGTGTAACCACTATGCCACCAGGGTTCCTTCAAATTGAACTTAACATTTGAACATTTGATGATCTGTTCAGTCAGCCCCTGGCCTGGTTTTAGCTGCTTCTACCAAGCTTCTGCATTGTGTTTTCCCACAGATGTAGTCCATTTGATTTCTGGGTTTTCTGTCTGGAAAAATTCATGTGCATAGTTCAGTGTGTGTTGTTGTAAAGTATTTGCAATGAAGTTGTCGGTTTAGCGAAATTCTGCCATGCGGTCTCCAACTTCATTTCTATCATTTAAGGCCATATTTTTCGACTTTCTTTGTTTCCAACTTTTGCATTCTAATCAGTAATTATCAATGCATCTTAATTGCAACTTTGGTCAATTTCAGACTGAAAACATTGGTAGGATTCTTCAATTTCTGAATCACTAACGTTAGTGGCTCGTGTATAAATTTGAATAATATTTGTAATGCCTGGATGTTGTTATTTGCAGATAGATGCTGTCCTATCACAGACAGCATTTTACTTCATGATAGATCTTAAAATGCCCTTTTTGATGGTGAATGCAACTCCTTTCTTCTAGAACCTGTCATTCCTAGTATAGTAAGCCACATGATTTTCTGATTCTAAATGGCCAGTACCGGTCCATTTAAACCCACGGATGTCTGGAATGCTGATCTTTACAGGTTCCATTTCATTTTTGACAACTCCTTAGATATACATGATACATTCCAAGTTTTAGGTATTCATTGATGTTTGCAGCTGTTCCCATTTTAAGTCGTGCCCCATCAGCAAATGAAGGTCCCGAAGACTTACTCCCATAGGCTTTCCCCC